TATCGCCGATACTGTTTGTATGGGTATTTTGTTTGCTGGATGACTCGCCCTTTGCATGATCGCTAGGTCGTGAGGAGGCGGTGGATTGTTTAGTTAGTTTATGTATCCGAATTAGGCTCATCCTTACTATCTGAGCGCCAGAGGTGATCCTTCGTTGCCAAATTTTAAAGTGTACACGCAAGTTGGCATCGACTAGTAAGTCGTTGCGGCATATCCGTCGCCCACAAGCCCGCATCCTCATTGAGCGCAGCCCGTAGAACAACATATTAACGTTGTTTACTGCATACCGTGCGCCAGCTGTCCATGCGTTTATGTTGGCCACACAGGCCGACGTCTCGGGACTTGCATCAACGAACATTCAGCTAGCCGTTCGCCGACGGGCACCCTAATCACTAGTATTTGCGCACTCTCTTGAGTGTGATCACCATTTCAATTTGGGTGGCACTGAGGTGATTGCCATGGCTAACACGAGACAAGCGAGAGCATTCCTCGAAGCTTGGCACTAAAGCCCGACCAGCATCAACAGGCACGTAGATCTTGATTCACATTACGCCGGTTTGCGCGCATGGTCCACTAACTTGCGTCCAGCGTGAAACAACAACAGTCTATCCGTGCTCGGTCAAGTAGAACTTCACTGATTCTGCATGCTTCCAGACACGTGGCCCACAGTCTAAACGTTCACACCCCTCTCACTTACAGCACCTATCGCAGCAGGATTCGCGTCACCCTTATCCCCCCCGCACCCCACGCCTGTTCGATAAAACCTCTACCCTCAAAACCCTCTAATGCGACACTCCCAGCCGTCACTTTTCATTCAGTCTGACGACGAGCAAATGCTACCTTCTTGATTCTCCGAAGGTTTTTCTTTAAATCTATATTTCTCCCTTCTCTCTATGCATATACCATTGCCGACGAGGAAAAGTGAGACTGGAATGGCTATTTCTGGCTTATTAGCTGTCATCAACCAGCCATACCGAATTCCAGGGGTGACGACCCCCGAGGCTCGGACCCACAACCTCGGTAATTAGAAGTTCAATGCTTAGTTATGGGTCACTGCGCAACAGGCTCTTCGTCTTGCCAGTGTCGTTTGGGGATATGCGCAATGGTAGATAGACGTTCACCGATGGCTTACAGGGCTCACTCGGGGGGACCACAGCAGACGCGTCTTCGATCGCTTTCCCACCCGTCCTCACGGCGGCCAAGCTCTGCTACACCAAACCTCCCTACGGTGGATCAACCTCCCCTCCACTACATCTCTGTTTTTGACGACAGAGCAGCCCCTCCCCACCACGCTGCTCCGATTTCCCCTCCTCGCCGCCGGGATTTGGGCCAACCCGGCGGGGCTCCTGATCCAACAACTGCTACTAGCCAGCCAACCAGGGCTCACTCGTCGCTGGTCTTTGTTGGTAATTATTAGGAGGTTTGGCAAATTTGCTTAATTTGAGTTGACCCAATTGTGGAAAAACTAGAGGCGTTTGGCGGGATTTGAACTCGCGTATCAGAGAAGGCCTTTACCGGAAGCCAAAGCTCTAACCACCTGAGCTACAAACACCCCACCTCGCGCCATTAATAAAATCTCACTTGGGTCGATATTACCCGCCCAACTTTACTGAGCGTATGGAATCCACCAATACGGAACAGCAAGCTGACTGCCCAAGCAGGCATTCCTAAGCAATTAAATTTGTTGGTAATGTATTTGAGCCTACAGTATATGCTAT